TGTTATCTCAGATTCTCCAGCATCGGCAGTTCCTACTATCTCTGTAACACTTTGCCATCCTTACCTGGTTTGGCCTAAATAGGACTCCAGACCCACTTCCCTTCCCTAAAAGGGCATTAGTGAACCAGATGGGTTTTTATTATATTTGACAACAGTTTCATAGTCATTATTAGTTTGTTAATTCCAGATTTTTATTAGATTCAAAATCCACCATCTGTCATGGTGAGATTTGAACCTACCTGGGTCTCTGTATTCGTTGGCTAGCAATAATACCACGCGGTCATCACCTCCTCTGAAATCTTGTATATTTTGCTCTACCAACCAAACGGTACATCATTGTACACAAAGTATCAAATGCAGGTCCAACCAAAGCATATGTTTTGAGACCAGTTTTATTTCAAACAAGAGGGACTGTTGATGTTAAAGTGACAATGTCTGGGACAAGTGTTGACCCTCATTGTTGATGGTGTACGTGAAAACAAACTTGTAAACAAAATCCTTTCAGTTTCTAAATCTCAATTTTATTATGAAAGAGGCGTATCAAATAGGATTATTCTTCAATGTGAACACAAAACAAAAGGTTTACACAGAAGTGATCTTTATAAAAAGTCACCTGGTACAACCAATTCAGGAGTACGTACCATGTACATTTTTCACAGTATTAATTGATGCCTAACATCACTATTGAAAGTTATTAACTTGGGATTTATGTTTTCTGTTTCATTTCACAACCTACACACACTTCATCCCTCTGATTAAAGATTCTACTACTCTTATTTATCAAGTTGCTATCAATGCCAATAAATCCAATCCGGTGGTATTGGAGAAAAAAGTTCATCCAATTATCACAGATTGTGATAAGCCAGCTTTCATTAAAATAGAGAACAGGCATCTATATTTCACATTTCATAATAAACTAGGTTACTGACTCCAGTTTCTTGTTTAAAAAAATCTAAAATTTTGATCATGTCCAAACTTCATGGTTTGCAAACAATAATTCAATGGATTAAAATTCAGTATTAAAAATCCCCGGTTGCTAATTTCTCATTGGCTGTTTCCCTTGGGTTTTTAAATCCACTTATACATTTTTAAAGTAACTTTTCTTAAGGGTTAAGTAAGCCAGTGAAGACTCTGATCATTTTGAATGAAGCTCCATTCTTCTAGGAAGGTAATTAGCCATAGTCCAGGACAGACTGTAACATCGCTCGCTCTCTGTTTGAAGTGAGGGACAATTGGTGATATAGCTTGATGGGCAGCTCTCTACATCAGGCATGGGGCAGGCAAGGAGGCACTTCCCACGTTTAATTCAGCCAGAGTGTAAACTGAACCTGTGCTGTGATCTCAATTTGCACCGTGGCACCTCTCAACTGCCGTTGCTACCTCCTCCCAACACCATTTAACGTGCTACCTCCTCCCAACACCAGTTAACTCTTCCATCAGTGAGTTACAGGCGTAATTTTAACCTTACCATATGATCGAATGTGACATGTTTACACCGTTCTCGATTTTACTTGCTACTGAAGTCCTCAGCAAAGGTGTAGAACCTGTGCCCCTCTCTATCCTGTGGGATACTGCCTGGTGAATAAGAGTGAAGTGTCTCCCTGTGGTGAGGGAGATTCAAGGATTTCCTCGTTTCGCCATCAGCGGGTGTTCAATCTAAGGATCTCTGCTTTGACCAATAACAGAAGGGTCAAAGCACACCCCTATAAACATCCCTTTAAAGGTAGCAACTTGCTATGGTTCAAGGACCCAAGGCTGCTACTATATTAAGTCTGCCATTTGGTCATACAGAAATTTACTGAAAAAAGACTTGCTACCAAAGCTTTTTGTCTTGCACTCATCGAGACAAATGCAAGAATGCCAAATTTCAAATAATCACAACAATTTATACCACATAGAGGAAAAAAATGCTGATTGGCTGAAGCATTGCCATGGAGAAAGGAATGAGGAACTACAGTCACCCCCAAAGGAAATTCAGCTCCTGGGTAATTTCAAAAAGTCACAAGGACCTTGAAAATATTGTTCTGGTTTTCAGAGGGGGACCACAGTGTATGAATGTATGCTGCTTATATTAAAGACATAGCTTTGACAATCTTGTTCCAGCAACATCTTCAGTTTCTGTTGATGTTTCCATTTTGGAAAATCTAAGTTTGGATGTTTGAAGTGCTACCTCACATGGAGGACTTATTATAGAAAAAAAACGAAACTTCAAGCAAAGTTAAAAATCGAAAAGCCTAGTACCTTCCTCCCACTCCCTATGTGGCTTTGGACTTGGCATGAAGGTACCAATCTTCAATGAACAACAGCAGCAAAGAGTGCCAACTGTACAAAGTAGCAGCCTTTAGGCAGACTTATGTTTTGTTTGAAGGTTACAAAGTCAGGGCTCCTTAAAGGGATAGAAAAGGGAAGACAATTCGTGAAGATTCTGTTCACTTGGTCCTGGGTTACAAACTCTCCAGGGATTCAAGCGTTACCACAGAGAAAGGGCAGCAGGCCAACCCAGGAAAGAAATTGTCAGGTCATTAAACAAAGCTACGCTTTTAGGAAACATTGTTGTTGTTCTGGGGGGGGCAACGATCATGCTGTCTGATTGTCAACCAACATTCAATTGGATAACAGGAAAGCCTACCTGCTCTCCCAATGGCTGCTGGAAGGCAGTGCCCTGCAAGGGTGGAAATGTTAGGCAACCAGAGTCAGGAGTATGGGTGATGGTGAGGTTGAAGGCAGGAGATTCTGTTTTGGCACCTCCGTGAATACTTTCGGAGTTGGCACCCATGCTTGGTCGACGAGGAAAAAAAACTAGGACGATATATCCAAAGAACTAATTTTCTACATGTCCTCCTCCCCCGACTACAAACTTACTTAGAGTTATGATTAAAAATTCAGAATAACTTACTCAGTAACAACATTGCAGGTTAGACAATGTAACCTGTGCAAACATCTGCCAGCTCAAATGGGCCCTATCGAAAAGAAACAGTTACAAAAAAAAGACAAATTGAGGTGGTGGCGCCCCTCATCCCCCTCCCCCCCCAACCCTCGTAACACTTTCATAAAAACTACCTAAAAATTGTCAAGTAGTGTTATTTAGCATGATGGATATATATTGAAAATTTTTCCTCATTTATAAAAACAACTAATACCAAGTGTACAAAATGCATAACGGAAAGTCACAAGGAGCAGGTAACCATTAAATTTTTAGCTTCTTGGTGGGGGGAGCTTGCAAGTCGATCCTGGAAATATCTTTGTTGGCTGTGAATGGTATCCTCTCAGTCACCTTCTTTCCAATAGTTTCAACCTGTTAAATGGAATTTGGGAAACAAAAATTGCATTAAAGGCCCCATTAGATTGTGGCTCAGAGCAGTCCAAACATTTCCTCTAAGTTGGTCTCCTGGTAGGGTCAATGGAAGATGAGGAGGCTCTCCTAAAATTAAATTTCAGCAAAACAGCGATGTGGATTTATTTCACACATTTGACAGTAAATAACACTCCATTCGCAAGCGAACTGGACAGCCGAACATGGGAGGAATTTTAGCTGAAGTGGCCAAACATTAGATAAACATTGGCCTCGATGTGGCTAATCAAATTCTTTTGTCCATTTTGAGTGAAAGACATTAAACAGAGTTGAGGCTTCCAAGTGAATAATCATCAGAATATCAGAGCCATTGCTTGCCTAGCTACCTCAACCAGCCATGGACTTGACCAAAGGTATCTGTCCCAATGCTGGATTGAGTCCTTTTCTGCCATTTATTCCCTTACCTGGAAACCAAGGTGCTGAAGCTTTTCATGGAGACTGTCTAGAATGCGTCTGCCATCAAAGATAAATGCAGGTTTCAGCATTGCTTTGTAGATCCTCTCATAGTCCAGCTCCTGAAAGGCCACAAATTTAAACTGAGATAAGGACAGAATCTGCAAATAATATCCTAGTTAAACACAACATTATAGTAAATGCAAGTTTACAAACTCATTCTACTCAAGACTGCAGAACAGACTGAAATGAGGAACAAACATGTACAAAAATTAAATTTGAACATGCAGAGTTACTGTAATATCACTTCAGCATCCAGATTACAGATCTTCCCCAACTTCAACATATGCTTTTAGGCAAGAATAGCAGGGTCATTACGTGCATTTCCCAACTAAAAGAAAAGTCTTCCTGTATAAAGTGCCTTCTTTACATTCAAATGTCTCAATTCCATTACATTCACTCAATGTTACATACTGTAGCAACGTAGGGAATCCAACAGCCAATCTGCATACAGCAACCACCACAAACAACCATGTGAAGGTGACAAGATCATCTATTTTTGTAATGTTGATCAAAAGATAGGTCAGGACACCAAGGAGACCTCCTGATCCTCTTCACCTTAGGAGGCAGATAGGGCCAAAACCTCGGAGGGAACACTGTGCTAAGTGTCAAATTAGATTTTGTACTCAAGGCTCTGAAGTGGGATTTGAACTCAATAATCTTTACTCAGACGCAGAACTTGAGGTGGCAGGAAGGGGCTATCAGTACTGAGACTGCAGTCCACTCGTTCCTACAACTAAACAACAATATGGATAGAAATAAACAGTGTTCCTCAAGCTCATCCGTTTCCTCGTCTCCCTTAGCAAATACACCCTTCAATTCCATTATGACTCCTTGGTAACATTCATGGCTTCCCACACAGCGTATAATCTTAATATGGATAGACAGTGTGCAGTAGTGATATCACTGGACTAGTAATCCCAGGCTAATGCTCTGGGGGTGTATGTTCAAATCCTACCATGGCTTCTGGTGGAAATTTATAATTCTGGAATATAAAGCTAGTCTCAGTCATGGTGACCTAGATTTGTGATACAGGGTACAAATTCAAAATTTGCAGATGGTATAAAGTATGAGGTTAGTAAAGGCAGGAAACCTCAATCTTTAAAATGTACATGGAGAGCACTTGAGATATGATAATATTGAAGGCTATGGGTCAAGTGCTGGAAAGTGGGATCGGTATAGATAGGTCAGTGATCACTTGATGGGCCAAAAGGCCTCATCTGTGCTGTATGACTCTTCACAAGAGCGTAAATAGACAGCAGTAGGTTCAAGGCTACAGCCCACCACCACTTTCTCAAGGGCAATTAGGGACAGGCAATACCCACATTCTGTGAGTGAATAAGAAAGTTCAGAAAGACAGTGAATTCCAGGAGAGACAGATAGGCTGGTGGAGTGAGCAGACATACAACAGATCAAACTCAATGAAGGAAAGTGAGAGCTGCTAAGTTTTGGTATGATGAATGAGAAAAGACGACACCAGATATCTAATCATATTTTTGATGGGAATGCAAGAATAGTATCAGTGCAGAAATCTTTCAAGGGGACAGCACCAAAGAAAAACATTCCCATTTTTATAGTTCCCTTCATGATTACATGTCTCAAAGCCCTTTACAACTGATGAAGGTCTTTGTGAAGGTCCAGTTACTGTTGTAACGTGGGAAATGGAGCAGCAAATTTATGAACAGCAAGCTCCCACAAACAACAATGTGATAATAGTCTGATGATCTGTTCTTTAATGATGCTCAATGAGGGATAAATTTTGGCCAAGACATCAGGGATCACTCTCTCCTCGTCTTCAAAATAGTGGCCTGTGATACATCACAAAGGGCAAGTTGGAGTTTTGGTTTAACATCTCATCTGAATGATGGCACCTCAGAGTGCAGTGCTCCCTCAGTCCCACATTGCAATTTTCAACTTGATGGTTTGCCTCGTTTGACATAACCCCTTTAGACCAGCACACTGTCAAGTAAAGCCAAGGTGACACACACACACACACACAAGGGATCCTGTGCTTTACAAGTAGAGGCAGAAAGCACGAAAGCCAGGATTTAACACTTTACAAAACACCAGTCTGATCCCAGTTAGAATACCGTGTACAATTCTGAGGACTGTACTTTGGGAAGAATATGAAGGATTTGGTGAATGCGCACAACAGTTTACAAAAATAGTATTGGAACTCAAACTAAATCAAACCAATGAAAATCACAAAGAGGTTTTATAGAAAATATAAAGAGAAATAATGGTTTGCATTTGCTGGAGGGTCAGTAATCAGAGGAAACAAATTCAAGGGAATAGGCTAAATGACCAGAGAGAAGATAGTGAGAAACTATTATTATGCAATAAGTGGTTTGGATTGGGATTCTGCTGATGATAAGTTGGTGGGTACAGACTCAATAGTAACTGTTGTAAGAGATTCTTACAGCTGGGTACTGACTCTGAGAGAATCTTCTCTGGGCAGATTTGCTGCCACCAAACCTTCCTGCAATACTGGTCTGTAGCCTTACCAGTATTAAGCGGTAGAGGACTAACCATTAATAAGTCTTTGGCAGAAGCGGCATGTACTTGAGTAACAGGTGATTTATTATGTAATAGTAACATGACATTAGCTTAAGACTGGTGAAGGGATTGAAACAGATTTGATTAGTTAAGGGTATAAATTTTAATTGGAAAACCAAGTGGGAACCACTGATGTACAAAGGCAGGCAGGGAGTGCAGGAATGCTGCTATCAGCAGGATAGCACCAGCCTTAGGTGAAATACAGATATACAATGCCTGTGTAAACTGGGAAAATAATTCAAAAGTTGGAATTTCAATACATAATGTCTTGTATAAAGCTGGGAGGTGCCTTTAACCCAGCAGAGTTGGTTCATTATTAAGACTAGCTCTCCCCATGCACACATGGAAATAATTTATCATTTGACCTGTTTCCAGCGTCTAGTATCCATTTGTCAAGTTGTACAACAATGGTTTAACTGTATTGGTAGAAGACAAGGATGGAACATGGAGGATGCTCTCAGGTTGCAATCTGATGTCGATCAACTGATAAATTGGACAAAGCAGTGGGAGGTGAACTTTATTCGTGATCAGTGCGAGCTGATGAACTTTCAAAGATCTAATGAGGGAAGGTGAATGGTAGGTCCCTAAGGAGTATTGAGGAACAAAGGGCCTTGGTGTACAAGTCTCTACATTTCCAAAGGTGTCAGCACAGGTAGACAGGGTGGTGAAGGCGGCTTACGGGATGCTTCACTTCATTAGCCAGAGCATGGAATACAGGAGCAAGGAAGTCTTGTTACAACTTCATAAAACATTGGTCAGGCCATAGATGAAATACTCTTTGCAGTTCTAGTGGCTACACTATTGGAAGGATGGGATTGCACTGGAGAGGGTACAGAGGAGAATCACCAGGAGATAGTAAGAACTGCCGATGCTGGAGTCAGAGACAACACAGTGTGGAGCTGGAAGAACACAGCAGGCCAGGCAGCATCAGAGGAGCAGGAAAGCTGACGTTTTGGGTTGGGACCCTTCTTGTATGTTGCCTGGCATGAAAAGTCACAGTTCTGAGGAGAGACTGGGTTTGTTTTCTTTGGAGCAGAGGAGGCTGAGGGGGGATCTGATTATGGTGTACAAAATTGAGAAGCATTGACAGAGTAGATCACAAGAGTCTCTTCCTCATTGCAGACATGTCTAAGACCAAAGTGCATAAGTTTAAAGTGTGGAGTATGAGACAACACATTGTTGAGGTGGAGGAAATGGGGAGAGGGAAGGGAGCTCAGAAATAAAGAGAGGAGGGGTGGGGCTGGGGAAGGTAGGTGGGATTGTTATAGGTGAGTGCAGGTCGGGAGTGATGGGCATTGGTCAGTGGGATGAGTGGGGCAGTGTGACACCACCCATAAACTGGAGGAGCAGCACCTCATATTCTGCCTTGCGAGCCTGCAGCCCAATGGCCTAAACATGGAATTCACCAGTTTTAAAATCTCCCCACCCCCAGCCTCATCCCATGACGAACCCTCCCTCTCATCCCCGCCTCCTTGACCTGACACAGCCTGTCCATCTTCTCTCATACCTATCCGCCCTACCCTTCCCCCTCCCCATTTCTGAAGATGGGTCCTGACTCGAAACACCAACTTTCCTGCTCCTCTGATGCTGCCTGGCCTGCTGTGTTCCTCCAGCTCCACACGGTGTTATCTCTGACTCCAGCATCTGCAGTTCTTGCTATCTCTAAAGTGAGGAGTATGTTGTCTTCAGGACATCTGAGGAAAATAATTTTCATTTAGAGGATGGTAGATATATGGAACATACTGCCTGAAAGAGTGCTGGAGGCAGGTACTCTTGTAACATTTAAGAAGCATTTGGATGAGGATTTAAAATGTCAGGTCATAGTAGGCAAAGGACCAAGTGCTGGGAAATGGGATTAGTGTAGTTTGGTGTTAGTTGGTCAGCAGACATAGTGGGCTGAACAGCCTGTTTCTATGCTGTATGACTATCTCCTGAGAGACCCCAGACTAACCTAAGTTACCTATACTGTTAGCATCCAAGACTAACAGACTAGCTAGCTCCTCCCAGAGACAGTTACTTAAATCCAATTGGTGGAGCTGTGTTGGTATCTTAGTTAGCCTTTTCAGAGTCAACTGCCTAATACAAAAGTAACCTTCAAAAGTGAATTAAATAAATAATAATAAGAAAATTGCAGAGATATGAGCAAAGGGTTGGTGAGCAGGACAAACTTATTGCTCTCATTAAAAGCTAGTTCAGTTTTGATGGGGCTGCATGGTCTCATCTAGGCTGCAGGATTCTATGAAATGTGAATACACACAGCTCACCATACAGAATAAAGGTTCAACAGGTAATAAAGCAACGGTTCTGACACTCTCAGAAGTTAACATGATCCTCATTTCACCTTATAATGATTTTAATAAATGAGTTTTAAACAACAACCAGAATATTAACTAAAATATTTTACCACTGACCCTTGGCCAGATTCTTTTGTGAATATTGGCTTTCCAAGCAAGCAAAGGAAGACACAACTGGAGTAAACTACTGCAGAACCTATTCTTCCCTTGTTGTACGATCACTTCCACTGTATAAAGACGGTGGATGCTACCAAACATTTTACAACATTAACAATTTTCATCTCAGTCACTGGAGGTGAAGGCTTAGTGGCATTATCGCTGGACTATTAATCCAGAGACCCAGATAATGTTCTGGGCACCCGGGTTTGAATCTCGCCACAGTAGATGGTAGAATTTGAATTCAATAAATATCTGGAATTAAGAATCTAATGATGACCACGAACCCATTGTCGATTGTTGGAAAAACCCATCTGGTTCAGTAAAGTCCTTTAGGGAAGGAAACTGCCATCCTTACCTGGTCTGGACTACGTGTGACTCCAGACCCACAGCAATGTGGTTGACTCTGCACTGCCCTCTGGGCAATTAGGGACGGGCAATAAATGCTGCCTAGCCAGTGACACCCTCATCCGTGAATGAATGAAAAAAAAGGGCTATTGTTCCTGTCCTGGGAAACTCTCCTTATTGTAAGTAAAAATAGATCCATGTATGTGGTGCAGCAGCAAGCCACAGAGCAGGAAAGTTCCCATGTCAAACCCTGGCCTATAGTCAAGGCATGGTCCACCTTCAGAATGGGAGTTAGGCCTCAGAATTTTTCCAATACAAATTGAAAATCATGGGAATTGGCCTAAAAAGGTGACTCCTGTATTTGAATATTGATTAATTAAACCTAATTGTCATTTGGATTTCATAACACTTTACATACATAGGAACAGCAGTAGGCCATTCAGCCCCATGAGCCTATTCCGCCCTTCAACAAGATCATGCCCAATCCATGGTCTAATTCCAAAAACCTGCCTTTGGCCCATACCACTTAATCCCTTTGCTTCACAAAAGCTCATATATCCCAGATTTAATATTGCCAACTGATCCAGCTTCCACTGCTATTTGTGGAAGAGAGTTCCAAAATTCTACCACCCATTGTGTGTAGAAATGTTCCCAATCATCTCTCTTCAGCAGTCTGGCACTAATTTTTAGACTATGCCCCCCAGTTCTAGAATCCCAAAAAAGTGAAAATAGTTTATCTTTATTGAGCCTGTCTTTTCCTGTTTACACCTTGAAGAATTCGACCATATCATCCCTTACGTGACAGAGGTACGTGGGGGAAGAAAAGGAACAGGAAGTTTTGTTGATAGGGTGAGACAGAAGGGTGGGAGGAGATTCCTGCAGACTTAAAACACCAACACAGACCTGTTTCAATGCAAATGTACACATGTTTTGAGAGGCTTGGTTAGCTCAATTGGCTGGACAGCTACAGTGAAGGTTCCAATGCCAACAGTGCTGGTTCAGTCTCCACACTGGCTATGATAATTCATGCAACGCATCTCCTCACTTTACCCAATGCCTGTGGAATGGAGTCACCTTAAGTCCAACTAACCAACTCTCTCCCTCTAATGGAAGGAGATATAAAGATATTTTGTGAACTATGGCTAACTACTTTGTGCTATACCAACATGTCTGGTACAATTCATGTATTTAGTAATGTATTGAAATTAAGTCAGGACTTTGTGTGTCTCCTCTACACAATTTTTACTGGGATAGGCATATCTCACAACACAGGATAGACTTGATTCCAACAACTCTACAGTCAAATAAATGGATTTTTGTGTCAATGGGCACCAAATCCAGGCAGCATCAGGGTGAAAAGTAGGAAGGAATAAAGAGGAGGAAATAGCCATAGCAGCAGTTATTTTTAATACCTTAAACATATCCCATTCTGTGCAGATCACAATAGCGTGGGCATTCTTACAAGCCTCATAAGGGTCTAAAGAGACGGTGACCAAACGTGACACTAATAAAAAGAAAAGAACTTGCATTAAAAGATGAACAACCTACATTTCATACCATCCTTCAAAACTGCAGTGTGCACTCAGGCCATTTTATAATCAAATAAAGTACTTTTGAGGCATTGTTCCTGTGGTAACATTGATACCTCAGATGCCAATGTGTGCATAGCAAGATCCCACAAGCAGCCGTGTGATAATGACCAGATAACTGGGTTTTTTTTGTGATGTTAGTCGAGGCATTAGTAATTGTCAAATGTACTGGCATAAACCACCTTCTAAATTTATGGTCATGAGCCCTTTCACATGCACCCGAGGGGGGTGCCTCAGTTTAACATCTCAGCTAAAAGACTGCACCAAGAATACCACCCACTGAGACACACGTGTGTGCGCGCGTCCATGTGTGTCTGTGTCTCAGTGGATGGTATTCTCAGTGTGGTTTTTAATATATACATATGTTTATATTGCTTACACAGCCTCAGGACACCCTAAAACACAGTGCAACCATGAAGTGCAACCACAAATATTGATGCAATTGTCTTTAGATGAAGGGTCACTGGTGCAGGTGATTAGGATGAGAATGCCCTTTGCTTCCCAAACCTCTCCGTTTTTAAAAGAAAGGGTTACCCAACACTCAGTAAGATGACATAAATCAAAACTCTCAGAATGGTACAGAATAGGAGGAGGTCATTCACCCCATCATGCTGGTGCTAGCTTTTTAAGGTATGTATTCAATGAATGATAGATTGGGAAATGTTGATGTCCAAATGGATCTGGGTGTCCTTGCAGACTAGTCACTCAAGCGGTGAGGGTGATCTCCCAGTATCTGTGATGGCGATGAGAACAGGCAGCTGAGGTCTCGCGGAGAGGGAGCTAAAAGGTAGAGATTGGGGCCCCAGCAAGAACTGGTGAACTTTTAACTTTATTCCTTTATTTTTCTAGGTCATATTAAAGGGGCATTTAATGTTAACTATTACCTTATTTCTTTATTTTTCTGCTTATTCAATGAAGATCTCTAATGTTTAACTCTTAACTTTGTTTCTTTTACTACTTTGTACCCTAGTTTTTTTATACCTAGGTACCTTTATACCCAAGATGGTGCCGTGTGGCGGTATTAGACATTTTTCACTGTACTCCTGTACTTGAGTACGTGACAATAAATCTAGATCAAGGCAAGCATATGGATGTAGCGAGCAGTTAGGAAGGTAAACGGTATGTTGGCCTTCATTGCAAGAGGGTTTGAGTACAGGAGCAAGAATAGCTTACTTGGTGAGACCACCTCAGGGGAGGCAATGGCCTAGTGCTGCAGTTAATGTTCTGGGAACTCTGGTTCAAATCCTGCCAAGGCAGATGGCGGTATCTGAATTCAATAAAAATTTGCAACTAAAAGTGTAATGATGACCATGAAACCATTGTCAATTCTTGGAAAGATCCATCTGGTTCACTAATGGCCTTTAGGGAAGGAAACTGCCATCCTTTCCTGGTCTGGCCACATGTGACTCCAGACCCACAACACAGTGGTTGACTCTTAACTGCATTCTGGGCAATTAGGGATGGGCAAAAAAATGCTGGCCTAGTCGGCAATGCCCTCAGCCTATGAATGAATTTAAAAAAAAAACACCTGGAGTATTGAGTGCAGTTTTGGTCTCTTTGCAAAGGGAAAGATATACTTGCCGTAGAGGGAATGCAGCAAAGGTTCACCTGACTGATTCCTGAGATGGCAGGTTTGTCATACGAGGAGAGATTGGATCAACTGGGCCTGTATTTCGCTTAGGAGAATGAGAGGGGGGCCTCTTTGAAACATATAAAATTCTGGTCACACTGGATCGAGGGAATATGTTTTTTTCAGCTGGGGCTTCCATATCGAGGGGGTAATGGTCTCAGTATATGGGGTAGGCCATTTTGGACCAGGATGAAGAGAAATACCTTCATTAGAGGGTGCGGAACCTATGGAATTCTCCACTGCAGGAGGCTGTGGAAGCTAACTCACTGAATCTATTTAATAATGAAATAGATGTATTTCTAAAACCTAAACGTATAAAAGGGGTATGAGGATAGAGGAGGAGTTTGGTGTTGAGATAGAGGATAGATGATCATATTGAATGGTGGAACAGATTCGATGGGGCAAACAGTGCCTAATTTGTATGTTTCTAAGTCCCATTGCTGTGCTGCTACAGTTTAGTCCTTTCTCATGTTTATCCAAACAGAGTGTATTTTCCCACTCTCTATGACTCAAATATGGTGCTGTTATCTATCCAGGCCTGTGATATCACGTCAGTTCCGAACTCAGAAGCCTCTTAAAGTGCACAAATAAAGCTTAAAATGTTCATGGATACCACCTTCAGTTACAGGTTAAGAATGCATACATTAAAAAGGTCAACACTGTGCCAATGTTGGTATCTTCATTAATTCAGTTTCAGTCAGAAAGAACGGCAATCTTTCCACAGTAATCTGCCAGAACCCAGGAGTGACTCCGCTGGTAAGAAACAAGACACCATTGCCCGCGCACAAACAGCAGAAACTTTATAAACCACCTGGGCTAACAAGCTTCACAAAAGGTGAAAATCGAAAATAAATGAATGCGAACCAAAGGAGGAGTTCATTGTGCAAGAGATAGTAGGAACTGCAGATGCTGGAAAATCTTAGATAACAAGGTGTAGAGCTGGATGAACACAGCAGGCC